AGGAACCAAGAATCAAGAACCAAGAGTCCTGGCCATCTTGGTTCCTGGTCCTTGGTTCCTGGGGTCTGGCCGCATTTAACTAAAACTATCAAATTCGGATTGAACTGCAGCGACCCCTAAACTACACATCTCAAACACTCAATACTTGACTCTGGGACTCCCTGACCCATTTACGGCCACGCAATCTCTCTCCCACCCGCGCACTGACCCACAGTCACTCACCCCTCGCCCACTCATGCACCTCATGACTCACCCAATCACAACAAGAACAACTCAAAACATCACGGCAGCAAGTTTCATTATTCCATGACCTGATTACTTTGCCACTTTGTATGCGTCTAGGTGCAACCGTACAGGCTTGAATGAACGAACATAATGCCCTGCATGAGTGAGTGTGCCACTGTGTGTAAGCATCAGTGAAAACATCGTGCTGCACGAATGAGTTCGTCAAGCACTGACTGCACGTGTTATGCAGCTCGAGCTACTTAGCGAANNTTGGGTTACAGATAGTATAAAATTATATAGGGACTTGAGGACAGGAACCCAATATATAGGTAACTGGGCTTCTAGGGTACCTTACTAATCTACATGTGCATATCATGTGGGCTTGCTTGTGATACATGGCAGCACGGTCAACTTAAGGATTTTTACGGTCAGCATTCTTACTAGTATCCCATTATGGCTGAGACTTAACGTTTGGTTCATGAAGCCTATCATACGCCTCATATATTTCCTTTATCCTCCATAGTTGTTGGCTATAAATATGCTAGATCCCTGGTATAACCCCTAGCTTCCCTTTTCCCTGCCGTTGCTGCAGGTGTCTTGGTTGCCTATGTAAGCCTAATACCAAACTGGCTATGAATCCAAAGGATAGTTCTGCCAGCCTGGCCGCTTTATATTTTCTATATCACACCCACAAAGGGTCCATGTAGGTATATGGTATATACTAGAGGCCCACCCCAAAAGTTTCCCTTGTACGTACTTTAAGGCCCAAGTATATACGTCGGACCTTGACTAAATGCATGTCAAATGTAAAGATACATTCTAAAAGACTCCTAGGCTCATTGTTATCTCTATATCTCTTGCAGTTACCGAGGAACTCTCAAATGCTGAGCTCCGGCGTCAATACATATAGATCTTTTTCCAAAGATGCTTCGAATTCTTTCTGTAAACCCTGTATTGGTTTCGACTTGAAGAGACGTGTCTCTGATATCTTGCGAATTCCTAGATCCTGGGGTCCTTTTTCCTAGATTCTAAAAATGGGAGTCAAGTTTAATAAATTCAGAGGTCCTGGGCTCCTGGTTTTCTCGATGATTTCTCTTACTAAGTGTGCTTAACACTGAATCAGGCATTGTCGAACCTTGGGCTCCTGCCTTTGTACGTATATTTATGTAGAACATTCACCAAATAATGTGCTGAATTCACAAGCCAAAGATGTAAGCTTTGTTTCCTTTGTATTTCCTTGCGTTGTGCTTTCTTGAAATGCAAATAAATTGTGTCTTCATTAGAGGCAGGGAATCTTCTCCATGTGAGGAGGGAGGTCAAGCTCCAGCTGATTCTACTGAGGTTTAGGATTTAGGGTTCTTGCGATCAAAAACACAGGAACTGAAGCTTTCACTTCTTTCAAATCAGCGATATCTCTCTTGTGTCCATACTGCGGAGAAGTAGGAAGTCTTTTCAATTCCAGTCTTCAATTCGGCACGGATTCATAAATCAAGGTTACACGCATCAGGCCTGGTCTGTCTCGTAAGGATTTCCACAGACCTACGTTTGCATTTCCACGGATTTTGTTTGGAGCTTTGGGGCAGAACGTGCTTTGGAGCTCAAAATGTGGATCCGCCTCCAATACAAATCAAATTGGACCAGACTAGTCACACCACACCTGTACAATGAAACCGTGCCAGCTACATGTAAAACACGTTTGACAATGAACTTGTATTCTAACCTGTCACAAGCGAAGACCAATTGTCTTGATTACCACTGCACCACTTCAACATGACTGCAAGGCAGTGAAACCATCGATCAGCTTCATAGGCAGCCAACGTCAAACATCTATCCTCCTCCTTGGCAGCCAAGACCAAATATCCTTCGTACTGCTCGCAAACTCCTCCTTCAAGATGCACTTTCACTAGGTTTCCAGTAGATTCCTCTTGATATCTCAGTTCACACCCTAACAACAGTGGATCTTTGAGGGGGGTAGCTACATATATGTGTGTGTGCATATTTGTATACACACACATATCTACCTGAATGTGTATGTGTGCGAACATTTGAACAAATATAAATGTGAATTAAACCCAAATCTTCCTCCTTGAGCAGGGAGCGTACCACCATACCAGGGGATGCCCTCAAACCCTATAAACCCTAAACCCTGCGACTGGACAGGACCATTAAGGTGATGCTCTCCAGTGCGGTCCCTTAAGCAGCAAAACTGGGCTGCTTTCAACCATCAACTTAATCACCATAAAAGGGAAATCGTGTTATCTACCATATACGTATCCGCACTGTGCTGGCTTGGCTTGAGTTCCTTTAGTTGCGAACCAGAAAATGTCTCCCTAAACCCTACGAACCCTACGAACCCTGAGCCCTAGACCCTAAATTGTGCAAGCTTGGATGCGTGGGCGATGGCATTTCAACCCTCTCGGGCCTTCTTTGCACTCGCCGTCCGCAGCGACCACACGCAGCTCCTGTTGAAAGACATCACAAAGTTCAGGGCTCAACAGGGTTGCTGTTAAGGAACTTATACTTATAACAAGTTACCATAATGTGGGGATATTGATTTTGTTTGCCTTCCTTATTCTTGTAACTTAATTTAAGTTCCCTAACAGCAACGCAGCGTCGCAAGGTTTAGGGTCTTAGGAGATTTAGGGCTTAGGGAGTGAAGAGTTATGGCGACTAGTGTGGGGGAGTACATGGGCATTTGGGGGTACCATTCTCGGGGTTCCTTTTAATAAAGATTATAGTATTTGGGGGTTTATATTGGGCCCACGTTATGTATAGAAACTACCATACAGAGATTTCCAAAGGTGCATTCCCATTTCCCTACAGCCCGCAACTCTTGAGTGGCTCAATCCTTTGGCACACTGCTGTGGAGCGCTGGGCACTTGCACCGTGAGCATTACTTCGTTACTGTTTACAGTAGCCTCCTACGGGCATGATATGCAGCCAAAAACGGTCTGTAGCACTGCGGGGGGTGTCCAGCACGATGAGTCTTACTTCTGGAAACAGCTCCCTTGGATATCTGGGTAGGCATGCTTCATAACAGTAAAGATGCTACCTCGTTCTAACTTTGGCTCGTCTCTACTTTGCCTGAAAGTGGCAACCCTGATCTGTGACCCGTGAGCCCTTCTGCCGAAAGGGCTGCTTGAAACCCTCCTGGAGCGTCGTCACTGCATCATGCGGCAGCTTCCCAGAAGCAAAAAATCGTGCTGGAACTTCTCAGCGTGCATAATTACAATAACAATGATGCGCGTCATGCTCGGCCACAAATGTCTTAGCCTGGAAAATCCCACAAAAAACAAATGCGTGCCTTCTTGTGCTTCAGAGCAGACTCCATCTCACTTTCTTCCTGCCCAGGATTTTTTCTGGCCAGACTCGGTTTTGCCAAGGAGGGCCCTTGGCGTCGTGAAGACTTATCCAGTTGAGACTTGGGCTGTTCTTCCTCCTGCTAGACTTATTTCTAGCTCAGTTGTGGAACTACATTGCCGAAGCTGGACCCCTCGTTGAGAATTGCTATGCATGCCTGCATGGAGGCAAGCAGGCTGAAGCTTGCAAACGGCTAGTGGGTGTGAGGGCTTGAGGTCCAGCAATCTGTGTTGCTTTGGAGCGCTCGAAGATGAAAGTTGAAACTCGCTGTACAACCCTGCACAAACTTCTACCACAACATCCCTTGGCCAAAGTAGATGCCATGTACTGACTGTATAGACGTGAGGGACTGTAGCGCCAAAAAAGTCAACTAGTTATAGACTTGGATGCCAAGGGTATGAATCTCCACTCAGTCCTCTGTCTCTTTTCCTGCATCACCGAAGTTCTTCTGGTGGGTCATGCAGGCATCCGCGAGGCAGGCTTGATACGTCTGCTCCTCCAGTCACACTGTTTAGCGCTTAGGGCTTGGGGCGGCAGCAGCAGCAGCAGCAGGAGGACTAGCAAGCTGACGCCAGCAATGCAAGCAACCAAAGTGCAAGCACACAAGGATCACAGCAGCCCTTTAGTCTGGCCTGATTGTCTTTGGCTTCTTCATCTTCTTGGATCTCCTCTTCCTCTTCCTTACTGCAATCGGCGGCTGGACCACTCACCAGCACGTGCAGGAACAAACCAACTGCACCCTCAACTCCTAGGACGGAAGGAAATACGGCTGTAAGTCGGGCCATTCACCTTGACACTTCATCATAGAATTCAGCACACGTGCCCTCATTCGCTGCCGCAACCGTACTAGAATCAGCTCTCAAGAAGTCTCAAATCACAAGTGAGATGAAATGCAGGGTATGTGCACGCCACTCAATGGGGAGGGTTGTCCATAAACAAAGGGCCCCACTATGGAGCCCAATATACTACGACAGTAACACTCGTAATGAGGTCTCAAAAAGAGAGGCCCCCACGTCTTGCAAACCCCCACTTAACAGCTGGGTTGGGTTCCGGATGGCATGACCTGCCAGTCTTCTTAGGACATGACCACAGAAGAAGGCAGCACCAGTTTAGCACAGCACCTAGTCCTACTAGAAGCCCAAACGGATGGGAATCTTCAAAAACAAGATTACAATCATGCTTGCAATGTTGATCACGTTTGTACATTGCTTCCTGTGAAATACTTGTTTCCGGTGTACGGCTTAGGGTCCATAGCTTATGGAGATATACTATACTTCAAGGACCCTGGAGGTAGGTAATCTACTACATGCACTTAATGTTAATGTTGCACTCACTTTGGCGTGACCAGACCCTCTCGGTTTGTGTTTGTGTTTCGCCGGCGGCTTCAGCCCTAAACACTAAACCCTAAACCCTTTAAGCCCTTAAACCCTAAACCCTTACGGTAACCCTAAACCCTTAACCCTGGGAGTTTCAGGCTGCTTGAAGGCCCTGATGTGTTTCAGGTTTGGGGTCCTCGCAGACTCGAGACCATCCCCTGTAAATCCAAACCCCGAGCACTCACAAGCCAGGAAGCCTATAGGGTTTGTGGTTTGGCGTTCAGGGTTTAAGGGTTTAGGGTTTAGTGTTTAGGGCTACTATCTGAGAATGCCTGATTCAAACTTCTGGGGCCCGGTTGTGGGGGGCGGAGGGAGATGCGTGTTAAACAGAGTGTCACTCAAACAGTCAGCATTTCTATCCTAGTGTAACCCGTTATAAGCAAGGTCCCGAACCCTGTCGTAACCAAAGCATCGACAAAGCAAGCCCTTCCATGAGCTGGATGGGGGCGAAACCCAAAGCCATGTTATACCCTTCTATGCTATGCAGCAAGCTTATGATCAAAGTGCTATTAGCTAAGAAACCCAGGGCTGTTTTCAGGGATTAGACCCATGTAGTGTAGTACTGAAGATACCTTCAGCCCTAAACCCTACACCCGTAATATTTATTCAACACTTTTCAGATCCAACTTCTGGATTTCATCATAAGCCTAGGCCAGAGATGACAGCCCTAAACCCTAAAGCTTAACCCTAAACCCTTTAAGTTCCAGCATCCTCAGTGGCCTCTTTCTTTAGGACAGCGCAGGATTTCTGGGCTTCCTGGAGCCATTCAGGGTTTGGGATGTGCAGGATTTTGCTTTAGGGTTTAAGGCTTGGGGGATCTAGCTTGAAGCTTAAACCCTAGACCTAAACCTTAAGCCCTAAACCCTAAGCTTTGTGAGCCTCACTCAGTTTTAATGTCCACGGCAACAGCTTGCGTCCAGGCGCCTCTAGCAATGGACGCAAACACAGAGATAGTCCCAGGGGCCATCGTATTTTGGGAATCACCCCAAGACGTTAGAATGACCTTGACAAACGCCCATGTGTAAGCAGTCTTTGGCCGAATGAGCTGGTAGTCTGAATCGTGAATGATGACTCCGAATAGCGTTTCATGGGCCTAGTGTGCAATTCGCATGGTGCACTGCTATGAACCAAAGAAGTCACCCCTGAAGTTACTGATGCCCAAACCCACCAACCTGAAGACATGATTTCTGGAATCTGAAGCTCATTTTGATTTTCCGTTGTCTTGTCCATTTGAACCTGCATAATTTGGGTAACATCCCTATACCCTATATGATTGCCGTATAGCAATTGAACAATGAGCCATACGTCAAGCCACACGTGCGCACCTATCAAAACTAACTGCGCGCCTTTGGTTGGGAGAGGATTCCGTGCACAAATCTCCAGAGGCACCCCACCGTCTTCAAGCCAACTACTGCTCGCTGTCTACCACGAAGATCTCTTGCAAGAATAGCCTAAACCCCAAACCCTAAGCCCTAACTAGCCATTTTTCAAATCGGCCCGGCACTTCAACACACAACCCCTGGCTGCCGTGGGTCCTCAAGGGCCTTGCCCTCGCAAAGCCTTGGCAAGTTCTGGCTGAATCCCGCCCTGCAATACCCAGAGGGTCCCCAGTCGCCATGTTACAGGGAAATTCTGACTGGGAAACAATACTTTGCACGATGTAGGCAGCCTGGAACCTTTGGGATGGAGACCTGGCAGCGCATAGGGGGCAAACTCCAGAGCCAACATGAAAGGTGGCCTCCACAAAACGGATCTCTAAAGCTGCACGCTGCTTTGAAACTTGAGCTTGCTCAAGACCCAATGCACTCATACCTGGATAGCCATCACAACTAGCCCAATCTGTTTCACACATACACCCCTGACAAGAATTGACTTATGCTTGTGCCCTGTAGCACGCATGAGCACCTGACCGGAATGACTAGATTTTTACAGACTCTGGCGTTGCTACACCTCTTTGTCTTTGTAGTACGCTTAGTAGGACAGTAGGACATGGCAGGGCGGCGGGCGGGGAGGGTGCATCGCAAATGATAAGAAGTGACCCTACACCCTAAACTGCTCAGGGCATTTGTGAGCCCCAGCTTGTCAAACACGTTTGCCACGATCTCACAGGTGGGCACGATACCCCCCTTCCACCCAAGCATCAACAAAACTTAACAACAAATGGTAGTTTCCCAAAATGATTGGACCTCAGCACAGACCCCCAAACACTACAATCCTTATCATAGGGACCCCCAAAATGGTACACTCCCCCAAACTAACATGGAAACCCATATAGCCCCCCTTTAGAAGGACTGTAGTCTTTATAGGGCCCTTTTTGGGTTTCCATGTTAGTTTCCGGGAGTGTACCCCTAATTCTAGGAAACCCTAAACCCCATATATCCCTATATAACCCCCATATCTCTCTTTAACGGGTACCCCTAATTTTGGGACACCCCCAAGTATTCGGGTGCATGGATTAAGGGAAGGAGGACCTTGTTTTCACCTTTTCAGCTTGTTGAGCTGGACCTGGTTAAGCTGTGCCTTTACACTTTGGGACGGTTCGGTCATGTCCTGCAAGGCTTAAAAGGGTACAACTATTTCTTGTACTTGGTTTATGGGCTCGGGTAAGTATTCCCTATGTGAGCTAGAGTCTAAACTCCTGGTATCCCCCTGATAAATCCAGAATAGTCCCCTGTATAATCCGCCATATAACCCCTTCAAGGGGTTTGCACTCACCCTTTAGGAACCTGCTAGTAAGGGTCCGAATGGTTTAGAGTGGCACCAGGTTTATTATGGGTTCCCCTGCTGCCCCCCTCTATACTGCCCTTCCTAGGCTCTCCCTTAATTGACCTTTGCCTAATTATCCCTAAACAACCCTGAATTCAGGGGGGAACCTAGGGGGGTAGTATAGACGGGGGTAATAGGGCCATGAGTTTCGGGTGTAGGGCTTCATGCTCAGAATCCTTGTCAGCCTGCACGTCTGAACTTTCATGAGATGAAGGGTCTCTTGTCCAAGGAGGTTCGAAAGTACCTACATTATACTACAAAGTATGGTCACTTCAGTACATACCTTATGGTTACAGAAAATCTTCCCAATATGGGCTGTTTAAGGGGCCAAAACCCTAAACCCTAACCTTTTCAGGAGTGCCCTTTTTTCCGGGTAGTGGTTCCGTGCTTTACCAGCTTGTGCTACTTAACATGACAGCGCCTGGCACCTGAACACTAAACACCCATGGAAACTAGAAACCCTAGAGTTGAGGGTGGAGGGTAGATTTTAGAGGGTTTAGGGTTTAGGGTTTAAGGTGTGGGGTGGAGACCTCGACACCCAAGTAACCTGAAAGCCTCAAACCGTCTCAACCTAAAATCCCTTGACCCACACCCTTACCCTACATAGGTCTTTCCATCAGCAGGTTGCCTTTAACATAAGCCCCAGTCTACTAGAATCCTTCCCTCAAGGGGGACCCCTAAACAGGTATCCCCAATTCTTGGAAACCCTACGCCCTCCCTGTAAACATATTCAATTTTAGTCTATTATATGCAGAATTATATTCATATATATATATATGCAAACGTATATGTCCCCTATAGCTCATTCTTGAAAAACACCGCTAAGTGTCAGAAATCCCTCCACGTCCCTACACCCTAAACGCGACCTCAATCTTAAACCCTTAATCCTTGATCCTAGACCCTGAACCGTACATAACTCCTCAGAAAAAGCAGCTTTGGGTCTTCCCTGGTTGTCAAGTTCACCTGGAGAACTTCTTCTTCCGCGAACCTGGGACAGAATGGGGTCCCTGTAGGGTTTAGAGTTATGGGCGGGCTTACAATTTTGAGGACCATTTTGGGTTTTACAGGGAGTTTATACAAGGGCTCATAAAGGCTTTCCAGGGGGAGTGTCTTTCCGGGTTCAGGGTTTGTAGTTTTAGGCTTTAGGGTGTATGGTTCTCAGGGTGTTGGGTATGTAGAGGTTCCCAAGCTTGGCCCTAGAATCAGGATTATGTGTAGTATGCTGGGGTCTGTGTTAGGGCCCCCGCTTTGTGGAAATACATGCATAAGGACACGTAGCAACCTGCATGGTTGAGGGTAGTGTAAGGTGTTGGTGCCAAAAGAATTAGAACAACAGAGACTGCAATGTAACACAGAAAGCCGCAGGGAAACCCGTTTATGTGGCGGGTTTATGGGGATTGACTGTAGAGGCCTGCATCAGAGGCTTTTTGCGGCTTAATATGAGTGACTTATACTACAGGTTGTAAGAGAGGGTTAAAGGCGTACTGTGGCCGAGTATTAGTTTTTCCAGCATGCTGTTGGCGCCAAGGGGTTCAGGGCTTGCAGGTGTAAACCTAAGCCCCCAGAAGCCCTAAACCCTAAACCCCTAAACCCTAAACCCTTGAACCACGTAGCTTCAGCGGTTGGGGGAGAGGGACTGATCA